TTTTTTGGGGGGGAGGGAGAGAGGTGAAGTAGAGGTTCGGCTTAAGATTTTTTTGAATCGTCGGTGGCAATGATATCAACCACTGTCAAAAGGTTATAACCGGACCTAGGTGTACTCTTATGAGGGTCAATCTGCTCCGGGAATGTGACAACTACACGATTCAAAGAAGTCTAATGAAACGAAATATACTATCAACGAACCAAACATAATTTAATTCAACAAAACTTGTCCCACACATCACAACGAGACGTGCCTCGATCGATTACAGGCTGATGACCACTGCCTTACGCGGCCACGCCCGTTTGCCTTATATAAACTGAGAACCCTAATCTATGCTAAATCAATTTAGTTTACATCACAGTACCAAGCTGCGATAAAGCATGACAGGCATAGCTTTGAGTTGAGGGGTGGGTGGGCATTGGGTGGGGTGGGTTGGCCTATAAAGTAGGAGGGACTGTGCATGGTCTCAGTCCCCTATATCATCATCAACACCGGTACCTGTGGTGTCAAATGACCCGTATTTCGTGCCTCGTGCGGCTTGCCCTTAGTTTCCAGGTTCAATTAGCAAGTTCACCACTAGCAGCATCCCTTGCAAAGAAGGGCACAACGAAAGCCCCTATAGTCCCGAATTCACGCTCAACCTATTTGATCCAGGCCAGAGTTGGAGGTGACCCTAATGTGACCTATTCACTTGGAATTCAAATGCTCGATTGACATTATGCTGTCACTCATGTTCCTTGCTCTATGCTCATAGTTGCATAACTTAATTGACTTTAATTTTGGCAAACCGCTATGCATTTCTATACCAGTTTGATATTCCCAACATGGTTACAGTAGTCTGTGTTTTTTGTTTGAAAGTAGTGGTTGTTGTCGGAAGTCGTTCGTTTCCAAAAGTTATGCCTTCAGCGATCTTTAATTGAGTCGAGACTTAACGAGGCGCATCCTCAAGCGATGAACTCCAAACCATCACAACCACTATTCCGATGAAAGATGGATTTCACTGCTCTTGTATCAATAATCGGTGGTTTAGTTTCGTTGTAGAACTTCTAGCTGGGAAATACCATAAAACAGTCCAAGATACAGTTGAAGAGGATCAATTGGGTAACAACTGTTTTGAAAGTTTTTCGGATAGTCTGGATCCTCTGCATATTCTTTGGAAAGAGGCATTCATATAATGCACATGCGACGTCTTGCAATCAACCACAAAGTGCGCGCGTGCTGTGTGCGCCGACGAAAACGTGCATGGGGGGCTAGCTTCATGTTTCGCACGGTATTTTCCAAGCATTGTCCACTCGCAATATCGTCATGGACGTAAATCCGGGGGAGGGGGTATATATTCCCCCACTTTTGGGGTGAAGGGATGGGCTATTGAATTATCCCCCCCCCCCACTACGGTGATGAGCAAAAACATTAAAGCTAACAGTGAAGAATTTTCAAGATTTCCCAAAGACTTAAATGTTTTCAATATCACTAAAAAGGGAAAGCAATTTTAAAAAGCCATAAATATACCATTCTGATGTAAGATTCTGCATGAATTTGATACACGTCACAGATATACATCCTTTTCATTAACATCGTCCCCTGTATAGTGTATGTGGTATACCCTCCCCCTTGTCAAATTCATGGCCGGGCGAGTCATCCCCTACCTTTCCCCATCCCCACCTCCCATTTCCAACACAGATTTACGCCACTGAATATCGTTCAGACAAGATGCTAAAGGGAACAGAGTGATAACGTTGCCTATTTCCTGTTGGTGTTAAGGCACTGGGTCAGCGATCACAGATCATGAGTGGACAACTTTTGGGCAGTTCTGCGGTTTTGTGCCGATTGTATTCGCGGGGACTTTGACGGAAAGAAGATAGGCCCTTAGTCCATTCACTACCCGCAGTATTAGGCCTCCAGATTCTTCAACAAAGTCCACCCAAACAGGCAACAGAATCCTCTCGATGAGGACAGAGAACAAGTGCAGTGATATCTTTTGCTTTCTTCTCAGAGTAAACAGGATGAGCGTCTTTGGAGTTTAGTAGCCGTCTCTTTTTGCGTGGTGTTTAAAACTTCAAATGTGGATCCCAGTTAAAACAATCTTCGGGAGGGAAAAGAGCATGCGTGCATTGACAGAACGCGGGCAAAACGTCAAGTCTCACCGCGATTTGCTATATAGAACTGCCTCAAATCTACCCCTGGCAGGCAGTGTCCGACAGCCGTAGGGTAAATCCTCCCTGTCTGGAATAAGGCTGAGATCAAGAGTTAGACACCTCGGATTAGCCGTGAGTAATTATTCTCAGACGTGGTCTTAAGGTCTTATAGTTCACGCTAGTCGTCCGTTTCAATCTGACGGGACACGCGTTAACATACATACAGAGAAGGTCTGTTTTTACACCCAATTGGGCTGTTTAGAACCTATTTCTAAGGCTCTCCTTTGACCCAACAAAAAGGTATTGCTTACTAAAGTATGGTTTTAGAACAGAGCTGGCATTCAGACCATTACACTTCGATATAAAAGTGACTGTAGTCACTTTTCTCAACCTTGACTCTTCGTTAATATCCCCATTGCAAGTTAAAATAGGCCTGACAAGAAATGTTTCACGTCAAAATATTTACTTCGACTAGGTGGTTCTCATAAATTTAGCCGACATAACCGATTCTCTTCTTGATGAAATGAGTCTCGCTAAAAATGGACAGCGGTGAACACATCAGCCATCAGCGTAGAACCCAGTATCAAGATGACATAAGTACTAAATGGACAATGGCATTCCCACCCTGCATGGGTGCTAACCACTTTGAAGGATACTGGTAAGGTGTAAGTATAAGGCTTTATAGTTACATTCAAGTTACACTGTAATTCCAAAAAGGATATCCCAGTCTACTGTTTCTTTGACAAGATTATACAACGACCGATTAGGCTTGAGGATGTTGTTACCCTTTTGACCGCAAAGCATGTGACAGAATGTGTTGGTAATTACATCATACTCCTACAAAGCTAGTCATCACTTCCATCACAAAGCCCTTTTTGCGGCACATCTTTTTGAATCCCAAAAGAAATCACCCCAGAACTGTGAAACATTCGTTAATTAAACATGTTGGCAAACATTTTGTGCAAAAAACAAAAAAAAAAACAAACAAACAAGACAGACATTGCAAAGTGATAGTGCTGGGTTCTACGATCCTGAACGTGGCAAATTTTGGAAAACGGGATGCATTTGAGAAAGGCTTAAGGTTTTAGGATTTAAACAATGTATCAACTGGATAGTATGGTTCCTTCGCTTGACAAAAATGTTTTTTTTTTTTTTAGGGGGCAGGGAGGGTTAACATATTCCCTAATCGTTCTTCCCAGGGAAACTCCAAATGTCAACCAGCCGTGACCCAGGGTAGATAGAGGGGGATGACTGCCTCAATTTCCCCTAAAATCCCAATGACCCTACCCTTACGCCCTTTAAATGGAGCTGACGGGGTACTTCTGGTCACGTTGGCCCCTAGACGTAAACAAACAGGAGGAAACTGTGCCCTTTATTCCTTACATCAGACCACCGATTTTACTTGAAGACGATTAAAGAAAATCTGCAGGCATTTCAAACTAACTGCAAAGCAAATTTCCAACTGACACGCCTTGGGTAAAGTTTTAGCTGGTTCCCGATTGATTTTACCTTACAAATTCTAAAAAAAAAAGTCAAAGATTTTACCAGCTTTGGGACTCTGAAATTCGTCATACCAAATCTGTCGCATCGAGGTAGCACGGTCGTGTGTAAAACACCTGCAATGTGAACAAATGTATCAAAGAAGCCCGGTTGGCATAGTTACCAATTCTTCTTTAAGAGGCAAACATCTCTCTAATGAGAGACTCTGAAAAATTCACCTGGTCCACTTTGCACACAGTGGAAAAGTTTTCAGTCTGCAGTGTAAGTTCAGGTACATTTTATTCAGTAGAGCGCTTTTTGGCTTTTTGGCAATGGCTTTTTGCGATTAAAATGTGCAAGTTGTACCTCGAGAATCAGTTGTATACCAGACCGTTCAAATTTACCGCCAGTGCATAGCTGGGAGTAACTCTACCTCTGGTCGCTTGAGAAAAACAAATTCAAGGTTTGGAGATAAATACATCAGCATTCTGACGAGCAGTGTCAAGAACAGGAAATACGATTGGAGATGGATTGGAAAAAACATTCAGCATTTGCTTAGGTCAAGAGCAAAAATATCCCTCCTACTCCCTGAAAGGAGACCTCAGTGTCTGAAATAATCAGAACTGAAGAAGCCAATGCCTCTAGATTCTTACTGATAAGAGCCATTTACCCTGCCAACTATTTTGGGTAGCAAGAAAAGTGTGTCAAGAAGAAGTCATTTTGGTTAGTATGTTGGGGTTGACACGAGGGTCCCGGGAAGTGAAGAATTAGAAATCCAGCTAACGCGTGGCGAGTGATGTTGATCACCTGGGACCTGTCCAAATAAAATCGGGGATGAACGATTGCTATCAGGGTTTCAGGATGTTAGTAAATGTTTAAGTGCATTCTTACTGCCCCTAAATCTGGTAATTTGGAAACCAGAACTTGTCTGAATACCGAGCAGAGTAAGACTGATTTAGTTTGAGAATGTTAGAATACTATTTCCAAATTCAAAGTCGGATATTCTGAACTGTAACTCTTTGGGGATTTTTCCCGGATCGGTTCCTAAATGTCAAAACATAGCACAATCCATAAGGCGCTTTAAAACTCGTTTTTTTTTAATGTGTATTTATAAATAATACTGAACAGATGTTAGAAACCATCAAAACCCTGGGTATTTGAAAAGCTGATATTTCGGAACATCGACAGTAATAACTAAACATATCGTGACGATGTACTCTAGTCAGAGATCATGATCACATCACTAAGAAAATTCTCCACTCTGGAAACACTCAAATAATACTCGAAGCCTTCCACAGTTCGGTTAAAGAAAGGCCCCTACAATCACTTCCTGTTTGTAAAATTTACTACAGACAAAACACAGGTAATAACTCAACTGCAGTCATAATCTTTGCATTAGAAATGTTTTATTTTTGTATTTGGGCAAATGATTACAGAGCATCATCTTGCATACATCGTTTGTTTGTAGTTTTTTGGAGATTCTGTTTGCTCAAGTCTTGGGCACTCTGAAAAAGTAAATGCCATCATGCGTGTTTTCGCTGCTTTATAATCTCAGAAAGTATGCTCTTCAATCAAATAGTTTAAATTCAGAGGACGAAAAAACTACTGAATGATGTATTCAGTTGCTGGCTTATTCAATGACAGAGAGAAACATCTTTCTGGGTTGTGTGATAGTTTATTGGAGGGGTAGGATTTAGTTCATTTTACGTATGAACTCGTTGATCTTGTCCTCCCGGTTGCCGTAGTCACCCCCTTCCACAAAGTGGTTTCCCTTCTTTCTGTAGCCACCACGAGGGCTGCTGAGCTTGAAGGGCCAGAGGAAGTTGTTGGCCTTCTTGAAGTTGGGGCCGACAGTGAAGATCTCATGGATGAGGTCCTCCATGCAGATGATGCCGTACTTGCCTGGAGAAAAGATGAGGAAAATGGAGAATGTGATGTCATATCAAGAAAACATTATCTGTCACAATCTGATATCAGGAGTCATCAAACCATTAGTTAGAAATGTGCTACAGCACAGAAAAGACTTGCTTAGTAAAAACAGGTTATCAGCCAAAATGCCATGTATTCTGTACTTCTTATGACTGGTTCTCTGCTGATTTTGCTTGGCAAACGAATCTGGTGAGCTATAATTTCTGCTTTGCAGCACTACAAAACTAAATTCCAGTTTTAACAGTATTTAATTCAAACCCTCCCAGATCCATCAAAATCTTTAAGAAGCAAGGGAAAAAGGGTTTAACAATTGGAACTGGTTGTACCTAGTGACTTTTCGATGATCTCATTAGAGGTGATGGGCACACGTCTCATTTGAACCTTGCCATAACCACGCTTGTAGACGAGCTCACGTACCGACTTCAGATTTGGGTACCTGTAAAAAGGAAAAACACAGGACAAGGAACGGTGAGCCTTAACCTCAAACAGATAATCCTGAATGAAATACCAGGGTTTTATTTCACAGTTCTGCGATGATTACATCTGTAAAATTATTTGGTCATGGCTTGAAATTTCAAGCTGTAAGCAAGTAATTTGTATTACGTCAACAAAATTATCTTAGCACAAAAAAATGGTTACCAGCCAAAGTGTGTAAAATATACTGTTTTGGACTGGTTCTCTGCTAATGCTTGGTATATAAATTTGCTCAGCAGTTATCTCTGCTTATCTGTGTAGCTAACCAGTTCCTTCCTTGCACTCACCCCCAGGCAATGTATGGTTCAACCAGTCGCAGCATCTGCAGGGTGGCCTTGTTGAGACGGATGAAGGATCCATTGTGGATCTGCCGCAGTCGAAGCAGTTGAAGGATCTTGCGCACCCTGGGGCTGACGCCGTTGATACTGTCAGAGACAAGGACAATCACTCATCACTCATTCCAGAATTCCCAAGATATTCTGACTAGAGGCTATCCTGAATCTTCCGATGCTCTCCAATGCCCAAGAAGCCAATGCTCCATTCTTTGTACTTAAACTTTTCAAGGGCATCGGCCCCACAAAATCATAGTGGCTAAGCTTTACCTTTCTAAATCCTACCAAACGCTTAAAAAATCTGATTTTATAGACGGGGGTCAGTTAGGGTTAACGTTGCATTGCTAATGTAAAAGATTAGAGAGTCTTTGCCATCCATTCAAGACAATTATTTGTAAATAATTTAGATCTTTTTTTTTTCACAGTACACATGACAATTCAACTACTAATAGCAAGTGTTAAGTCAAAATGACCAGGTTTCAGTGTTTTTAGCTTTTCAATATTTAGAAGGATAGTTTGGCTTCATACGTGTATTCATTTAACACTTCAGCTTAAAATCTTGAAAGCTTTAGTCTAGATGTAAATGCATGGTTACAAAATTTCAAGTTCAAAAACTCCACAGCTGAGCTACATGTAAAATCATATTCCTCAAACGATCCCTTACCCACGGATTCTGATGATGAAACCAAGCTTAGGCTCGTCCGGGACATAGAAGTTGTTATGCTTCCTGGCCACACGCTTCAGTCTGATGACATCGCGTTCCTTTCGCTTGTATTCCTGGATGTACTGCTCAGCACGCTTGAAGATTGTCTTCCTTTTGACAGCATTTCTCTGCAAACAAAAGCCCTAAGTCTTGACTACTGTAGCAATTAAAACCAAAAAGATGAAAAACTAGTCCCAGTCTCAGGATGGAAACTGAGAACCTGGCACCCTAAATCTTTAATTCTGGAAAGAACATGATGGGAATTTTCTTTTAACGGACAGATGGATCCTTCCATTTGAAGCACTTTTGCTTAATTTGTAATTGCTTCATACAGTTGAAACTTAACAATATCAAAATTGAACTTCCTTTGGGAGGGATGTGTAACAACTTCGTCAAATGACTAGTGTGTTTACCTTCTTTTTGAGAAGTCGGACCTGAGCCCGGCGTGCCTTCTCAGTCTGAGCCTTTCTCCTCTTTTTCAAGAGGGTCTCGGGTTGCGTGGGCAGCTTTGCTGGAACACTGGCATGAACAGAAGGAAAAAACATAAATTATCGCCTTGGGATTCATAACATTTAGAAGTACTTTGTCAGTCTCAGTCAGACATCCTTGCAGCTTGGTTGCACCTGAGCAATAGTTGCATGCAGCACAAAAGGGTTTGCCCCATGGATGTCAGTTAAATGGACCATTTGCTAACTCCACTGGGAACAACTCATCTGTGAAGACAGCTCAACCAGTGGGACTACGCAACTGTTTACCAAGTTGTAAGTTACGACACATCGACTTTGACACAGAAACAACCTGACCATGCAAGGTTGAACATGACAGAGTGTGGGGCATTTAATACATATTGCAGATTAATGTGTTTGGCAAAATACGCGTGTGTCACCTTTCACTATGACTCAACTTGGGCCCCCTGACGCAGCATGCACAGGTAGGGCCAATTTCATAGAGCTGTTTAAGCACAATATTTGCTAGAGCGTGAAAAAACCTTGCTTGACAAATCAGTTTACCAGCCAAAACTCCATGTGATGCATATTGTTTTGGAATTGTACTCACATATCTTTTGGTTAGCATGACTATCACATGGATTTTGAGCTGCTAACCTTTGTTTTTTAAGCAAGTTTTCTTTTGCGCTTAAGCAAATTTTGTGCTTAAGCAGCTCAATGAAATTGGCCCCTGCTAGGTAGCACATACCACCTAAACCAGAGCAGAGCAAGGCTGCGAAGGCTATGCAGCAAGAACAGTGGCCTCGGGCACTATCCACGGTGCACAGTCGCTAGTCTGCTGGTGTGGGAAGTGGTAAATCTCACCCCAGTCAGGGAGCTGTTTCTTTTTTCTATGGACACAGCTTGACATTTGGTGCATCAACCCTATGAGACTGGTTTGAAATATTGGAAGTGTTTCTATTTTGAATACCTCCACATTTTCATCGGTAAATGGGACTCTTTGGGAAATTTTATTGCTTATAAATGGCTGATAGGTCACCGCAGAGAACTGGTGGCATCCATAAATAGAATTCTTTCCAAGCAAAGTGCCTGTAAAACACACATGCACACAAGTTGTCTGCTCATCCAAGCTCTCTGTTGAGACATGTGTCACGCTTTTGTCACTTTGTGCATTGTCATGATAGACCTATGTATGTGTAGTCCAACATGAAAACCAAACTGGCTTCTGGACATTGGGCAGATGTTGGACTGAACAACAGGGCTGAGGGACAATGGCTTGCTTTCTGTGGGGTTCGTGTGAACGGGCCGGATGTGTGGCCCCACAGTTCTGGGGGTAGGATAAGCGGGTTGTAGGTCAACTTGACTGTTTGCCAACTCGAATTGAGTCAAGTCGACTCCTGACCAACTCGACCGTCGACAAACTCGACCGTTGAACCAACTCGTCTGTTGACCAACTCGACTTCAAAGTTGAGTCAACTCCACCATTAACCAACTCGACTCTTTGCCAACTCGACTGCATGATTGAAAAATAGATATTAAAAGGGGAAAAATAATGATCGGATTGGTTCCGGATCGTGAAAATTATGGATGCTGATTTTGGCTCAGTGAACCCACGAAATCAACTGAAATGCAATCAATAATTGAACTTGTGCCAATGAGATACTCAAAAATAATTTTCCCAACATGAGAAGCACGCACTCACAAACCCCCAAAATCTGTCTTCACACTGTGCGCAGGCACAGATCACGTCATGCACAGTAAAACAAATTACACGCGCAATCCAGAACTAGGAAAATGCATTCCTTCTATGCCCTGTCCCTGTTGCACTGTTTGCACGGTCGAGTTGGTCGAGAGTCGAGTTGACCTGACACCGGATAAGCCTAGGCCTAAACTGCTTAAGGAAAAATGCTTGCTTTTTAATGTCAATTGGGAAAGGGTGCCTTCTTTTGAACCTGCTCTCTAGTTACTTAACCCTCTATCAGTTTTACATCTCTAGTCCAATGTCATGATATTGTTGCCCCTTTTAAAAAAATCTTTCAGGTTCAACATATTAAAAAATTTCAAAAAAATGGCCAACATGGTCAATGGCAATGAGTAGGCCTTGCGCCTAGCCCAGGTTGCATTGCGACTGACGTCCAGGGTATAAAAAGTCCTCCTACAATGCAACATATTTTTCAACAGTTTTTCTCACATTTTTACCAGGAGAAGACAGCTCAAATGTCGTTCACAAGTGCCTTGTACTACGAATTCCATAAATTGCTGTGTTGAAATAACTAAACACGCCTGCGAACAACACATTTAGCAGGAAATTTAGCGCAACTCCATGCTTTTAGTCGTGAACGATCTACGTTTGTCTAGTACGTATACTTACACATACGCAAAATAAATAGTAATTAACCGCCTCTTACACATGCGTGGAAGAGCTTTGGGTGTGAAGAAATCGCAGATAAGGCTGTGTATAAAACATGAGTTTTATCATGGGTACGAGTGCACACTTAAAATTAAAGCTGAAATCAGCTAGCAAAAACTGAAATGTAAAAGTTCCAATACTTTTGTACAGAGTAGGTGTACAAAAAAGCTGAAATTCAGGGTCAACATCGAAACAAAAATAGCTGAAATCAGCTAAAAAGCTGAATTTTCACACCCCTAATCTATTTCCATCTCCATGGTCAGTCGTCTAGTGTAGGCCTAAATGAAGACAATGTCCAACCTGGGCCGGCTAGCCTAGCGGTCATGTCAACAAGTGTCAATAACTTGAAAATACGTTATACAGATTTAAAAGTGGTTTGATTACATTTTAGAGACTCTAACACTTGCCACTGTGTAAGAGAAACACCAAATTTGCTTCCAGATTCTCACAGGAAAATGAAAATTTTTTGCGATATATGGGGGCCGCCATCTGTCTGTCCTCTGCCGTCCACGCAAAAGCAAAATGGCGGCCGGTTGGACTGCCATGACTGCACTAACAGGCCGACTTTGTCACTCAAATTTCAACACTCAAATATCATTTCAGATAAATATAATACATAGAATCTTTGCATAAATATGCTTGGATAATTTGTTGAAGCTTTGTTGATGCTCGTTGACGCTAAATAGCATGACCCTAGCCTAGCATAAGTACCAGGGGTATTCTTAATGTTCTTATCCCAGGTTCTGAGGTTAGTTTTTTAAATACTTCACCATCAAAAATTTAGAAGTACATTAATGACTTTTGTAAAAACACCAAAATCTCCCTTAAAAATTATCAAATAAATTTTGCCTTATGACTGAGCGTTGCTGAGCATGTGGCTTTCATCTGACATGTACCTGAACGTATGGATGTCAACACTTCAACAGTTTTACTATTATATGATTGAAATTTACCTATAAAACCACTTGCTTATACAACAAAAGTACACTATATCAAATAGAAGCAGTTTTTCTTTATCTCAACTATATCAGCTTCTTTGAAGTGAGGACATGAAACAGGATGTTAACGGGTTTAATCATTCAGAAATTTCTCCATACTCATCCGCCATTTTGCCCGTGTAGAAAGAGGCCCTTAAATCTACATCCGGGATATTTTAATAGCTGCACGCAATGAATATTTATATAAGCTACGCAGGTCATGTCACGTCACAGGCCAGGACGTCTCATTCATGCCATTAACATGATTAAGTAAAATAAACTGGATATGTTTACGTTTGCGGTCTCTATACATGTACATGTACATCATCGTTTTGAGTATGTGGGGTTCTGAAAAGAACCGGTGGAAAAATCCATGGTGCTTCAGCAAACATAACCAGTTTAATAGTGCTACCTCCTTCATGAAAAGCTTCAAATCTCATGATCTTCATCCCCTGATCTCCATTGGCATGATTGATGCTTCATCCGTTTTATTAGCAACTGACTGTTATTTTGTTAACCCTACAGTAAGCCCTATAATGCCACAAAAATATCAAGTAAGATGCAAAAACGCAAGATTTCACAGTGCTTAAATTTAGTACGAAAGCTTGAGGCCTACGGTCGAGGATGAGGCCTACATTCCAGGACTGATTTTGGAGATATCTGAGCTGAGACGAAGTCGACTCGGAGTACCATGCTTTGGCGCTCTAGCCTCAGCGTACAGCTGGCAAGCCGCGCGGCGTTGGGGCCGGCTAGCTAACAATTATAATCTTTACTTTCGATTCCGGCATGTGATGGTTTCACTTTAGAATTAGATGCTCGTACAAATCTAGCAATGTAGCATCATTATACATACGGCGATCACGTCTCAGCCTTCATGGTGAGATTTTTCTGCAGTTTCCTTTCAAAAAGTCAAATATATCTTGAGATTCAAGTGGACAAAATAAAGCCACATAGTATGGCTAGGCTTCGAGACACATTGGGAGGGGATTGTCGGGTAATAGTTCCATATACGGACAACACTTGTGCCTCTGACTCCGCGCGCTAGTTATTACCGCATGGGTGATTTTGTCACGGTCTTATATTAAAAAAAAACTGGACTTGCAACACCTTTGAAATAGAAGCCAACCAGCGGCCATTTTACCGAGCCGAAAACAAATGCACGGGTTGACTCGCGTCTATTGACGCCAGAGAGAACAAAGGTGGGCATTGCCGGGCAACTTTGTATTCGGCTCGGTAAAATGGTCGCTAGTAGATTCAGCGATCTCCATAAGCTGATAAAGGGCATTGCGAGTCCAGATTTTTTCATATACGTCCGTGGATTTTGTACGAAGCTAGAAAGGCATTGTTCCTTTTGTGGATGAAAAAAAAGAGGCATTGTTTGCTCCTTTTTCCTTCCCACGATGCCTTTCTAGTACAAGGCTTATGAGACTTGTCTAATAAACCCTAGTGTTTTACTAGAGATGCCAGAGAATTTTCTAGCTAAAATTCATTTTGTAGGACATGTTAATTTTGTTATCACTTTCTGATGGCTGTCGTAGGCCCAACAGAGGAGGAACCTCTTTCTGAATTTTGCGCAAACGAAAGATTATAGTAATCTTATTTGATCCATGGAGCACGTTTGATCCATTTATATTTTACTGGTAGTTATATACATGTACTTCAAATTCCAGTTATCATAGCTGGTAGTGGTAGGCTGGGCAGTGCTATCATCCATTGCATGATAGGCCTACACGTAGGGACTGGAGCTGTGTATGCCTACGGTCAAAGTACAACTTGAAGTTGACTACGTGAAGCCTGAGTAACTTAAGCCTAACTCATCTTTTGTGGGACATAGGTAAGTGAAGATCAGTTACTTCAAATATGATGAATATCATTTGTTTAAAAGTATTTAAATACATTTAGGCTACTCCAGAAAGGGCTTGTTACTTCCCTCAGCCTCTGAGTAGTTCTGGTTGTTACTTATTGTATGGTCGGTATGAGAACATTGTCATTTATTGTACATGTATTTCATGCTGCAGAATTCATTGAAGAACATCTTGAATTGAACTGGTGCTGACGTCCTCATAACATCATCTTCATCATGAAAATTGTCATTGATGTGCTATGGATGACCATCAAGGTCCTCACTCTGCTGGTGTGGTCTTGGATCAAGTGGCTACTGCCATCTCGTCCAAAGTCTCTAGATGGTGAGACGGTGCTGATGACAGGAGCCGGTAGTGGTATTGGACGGCTCATGGCTGTTAGGTTTGCTCTCAAAGGTATGACAGAATCCTAATCAGTGCAACCTTAACTTCAGTTTCCCTAGTTGAATTGTAATATCATCTCATTTAGCTGCAACAAATGTCCATTGTGAACTTCAGAATAGTATTAATAATAATTTATAGAGCGCAAATGCCATAATTATGTTCAAATGCTCTCACCAATTAAATAAATGTTACATTATGCAAGTAAAATACAATAAATAAATTAATAAAACACTTAGAACTTAATCAGCCCAGGGTGCAACTAGTTTCCTAAGGTAGCTCAAAATGAATATGTTTTTACTTGAATCTTAAAATGTGTCGGTGACAAAATTTGACGGATCGTCACTGGCAAAGAATATAAAGAGGGAGCTGCCGCACAGAAAGCCCACCGTCCAAAACTGTTCAATACCCTCCCCTTGGGATAATCTAATAACATGGTGTTGTTTGATATCAAAGAATAATTGGAATTTGCTTTGAGATAATGTGGTGCCAAGTTCTAACTATTGCACATTCGTCATATTGAACCACATCTTCAGTGATCAGTTTCTAGAATTATATCTGAAAGCTTTTTCTTAAGGAAGTAACTTCAGAACTTTTCCCGTCTGGACAGTGTGTTATTGAAATGTGAGCTTGTCATGGCATGATTTCAGGGTGTAACTTGGTTTTGTGGGACATCAATCAGAAAGGCAATGAGGAGACGGCCAAAATGATCAAGGAGGCGGGAGGAAATGCCCATGCCTACACAGTAGATGTCTCCAAGATGGCGGCAGTCAGTCAAGCTGCAGCTAAGGTCAGTCCAAGAAAGTGGGCAGCGCACATATCTTTATTGCCTGCTTGAAGTAGGATGTATAGAGAAGGGGTGTTTTTTCCGTGGAAAGGGTATTTTGAGAATTTGTGTGACATAGGAAGTTTGGTAGTTGTTGATTTGAAAGTGGTTGTTCTTTGTTACTTGGTATTGCATGATAGCTTTCATGTCTTGTTTTCCTTCTACAGGTCAAGCAGGATGTTGGTGAAGTGTCCATTCTCGTCAACAATGCTGGCATTGTCACTGGTCGCACTCTCTTGGACTTGACTGAACAAGAATGGACA